GGTCACATCTGCAACACGTGGCCTGCCCAGAGCACTTTGGCAGGTACAGTACTGGGCTCACTGGTCCCTATTCCCACAGCTGCCTTTGGTACTTGGGATTAGCAAACACTCCTTGTGTCCCATTGAACCCATGGAAGCCCTGAATGCCTCAGAAAGCCCACACTGCTCCTGGATGGGGCCAGAGTGGAATGTTCAAAGAGGAACCTGCTAGGGACAGGACTGTCATCTCCAGCAGGGCCACTCTCAGCAGAGTGCTCAGTTCGGTCTTATGCGGAGACAGAGTCAGAGCCTGACAGATCAAACGGTAGCTCCTTGGGGATGGCTGGCCCTCTCTTCCTCTTCCTGAGGTAGAGGGCACATGCTCTGCTGGGTTAGGAGCTGGAAACCTGGGCTCCGGTCCTCATGCCTCTCTGGGCCTCAGTGTCCATGTCTGGGACATGGGGGCAAGGGGAGAAGGGGCATTAAGCACCTTTCAGCTCCGGGTTGGAGGGAGCAGCAGGGAGTGTTCTTCCCCACAGGAACCTGAGTGGAGCTGCCCAGGCTTCTCGAAGGGCTGGCCCACTGGCTGCCGTACCCACCCTGGTTATTTTCTGAATCTGAAACATTTTGTCTTATTTAGTGTACAAATCATTGTCTTTAAGTGTATTCACAGAGTTGTACAATCATCACCACAATCTAATTTTAGAACATTTTTCATGCTCCCCCAAAGAAATCCTGCACCCCTTAGTTATCACCCACTAATATTCCCTCAGCCCCTGGCAACCACCAATCAATCTACTTTCTGTTTTTATTGATTTACCTCTTTTGGACATTCCACACAAGTGGAATTTCGCAGTGTCAGTACACCCACTGCTTGCCTTTCACCTTTATTATGTCTACAGTAATAAATACAACTATCTCTACAACAGTTGCTACAGTCCCGGCCCCACGGGCCCCTCGGGGCGGGTTTCGCCTTCCGGGCTCTGACTCCTTCACATCAGCTGCTCGTCTCAGGCCCCTCAAACAGTGGGAGCCTTGTTATGGCCGGGCCTTCCCGCAAGTCTCAGGTCGCTACTGCTTACAAACATGGGGTGTGGTACGGTTGGGTATTCCTATTTTATAAATAAAGCATACTTATACATAGGGAAAAAAAGAAAAAGAAAAGTTACATTAGAAAACATGAAGTAGGGAAGACAGTTTCTCTCCAGAACATGACTGTGTACTTCAGAAGATTAAGAGATATTCCTGAAAACTAATTACAGAGAAATTTGAATTCACTCAACTTCAATTTAAATATGAGGAAATAACTCTTGGTAAAACATGATAAAAAGCAGCTGGCACAATTGTGATTTTGCTCATTCAAAACAGGCTTATCTATTTGCTCAACAGATGTGTTCCGAATAAGCTGTGCTCAGATGTTAGCGAATGCATTAAAAAACTTTTTCAAAGAACTAGGAGTTCTACATTAAAAAATTAAAACAAACAAAAACTTAATGTATCACTTTGTAATGCCAAAGGTACTGCTGAAATGCAAACAATATCTAATTTCCCCCCAAGTTCAATATGTTCATTTCTATATACTGTATCCCTCACGGTGGTGGGGAACAGACCTTATTTACAAATACAAGGTATTAATGCAAGCTCCAAACAGCATATGTAGAAATAAAAATTGACAACATTATTTGAAATACCTAAAGAAAAATTAGAATTCTTTCAGAGGAAGAGTAACGTGACTATCAAAGAAACTGCTTGTCTCATAGCAATTAAGTGATCTTACCATATATGAAGGTTTCCAGCAAAATCTCCAGTAGCTAAATATCTCTGCTGTAAAGATGTTGCACCAAATGTTCCACATTTAATGGGCTTGGCCTTTTCAATCTTGATAAAAGGGAGAGAGAGAGGATACATTATTTATGTAAGCAGCTACGTACTTATAATCCATGATATTTACACCTTTATTATGGGATTGAAATAAGGCACATAATATAAAGAGCAATTAAAATGTTTTCTAATAAAAATTATCATGTTTTTCCTTTAGCCATCCTCCTATAGTTTAACAGTATATAACTGTCTACAAAATGAGTTTTAATTTTGCCTTTCCTCTCATCTCGCTAGTAAGACATTCAACCGCTAACAACTCGACCATATCTACTGGTTTGCAAATATAAAAATTTTCAGGACTTAATGTGATATTCCTCTTTAAAATCCTCTGCAGAAATGAGAACGTAATGAAGATATCGCGCTTTCCAGATGGCTACAGGAACAAAGATGTTTATGAGTCTCTTACAGTTTTCCCTGCAGAACCCACTAAACTGAGAATGTTTATGACCTATTCTCTGTGGGACCCTTGCAATACACAGAGATTTGTATACCCTTGTATACCAAGGGCACTGCTATTGGTATGGATGAGACGATCTTTTCAGGTTCATTTCATTTAAGCCTACTGCTCCAAGTACTGTCTATAGTCCCATTAATAAAATAACCATACACCAATGCATGTGGCTTATGGAAGTCACATGAAGAAGACCATATCACTGAAAGGGTCCTTCGAAATTACCTAATATAATATCCCCCTGTCGTAGATAAAGATATGCAAGCCTAGAGCTTTACAGATTCGCCCAATTCAAGCATTCAACATTTAATGATTTCCTACCGTATGCAAGTCAATGACCTGGGCAGAAGAAGACACACGGGAAGAAGAGACTGGCCGTGCCCTCAAGGAGTTAACAACCCCAGTACAGTGGGGGATATGTTCCCAGACCCCCAGCAGATGCCTAAAACAGACATAGTACTGAACACTATATACAGTATGTTTTTTCCTGCACACACCTATGATACAGTCTAGTTTATAAATTAGGCACAGTAAGAGATTAATAATAACTAATAATAAAATAGAACAATTATAACAATGTACTTATAAGTTACGTGAGTGGTTTGGGGCTGCTAGTAAGTAAAATAAAGATAACCCGAACAAGCACTGGGACACTGAGATCCTGGGACCACCAACCTGATACCAAAGCGGCTACTGAGTGACTAACAGGTTTTCCACTGCGGACCCGGGGTGGGACAGAGTAGGATGGTGGGAGATTACGTCACGCTGCTCAGAATGGTGTGTAATTTAAAACCTATGAATTGCTTATTTCTGGAATTTTCCGCTCCTTATGACTGCGGTTAACAAACTGTGGAAAGCAAAACCGTGGATAAGGGGGACACTGTACCAGCGCCTACCCAGCTCCTCCCACCTACACACATGCCATCTGCTACTCTCACGTACTCCCACCCCTCTGCAGGTCTTTTGTTCATCTTGCACTTTCCGGTGTTTCTCATTTCTCCAAAGTCCCTGCTGACCCCATGCACCTGCCCAGGTCACTGACGTCCCACCTGGAGCCTGCGTTTCCTCTGGCTCAGCCCGCGGGAACTCTGGACAACCTGGACCTGGCTGAGGCCAGGATCTGATGCCGGTCCCAGACCACTCTCTAGCCTCATAATATCACCTTCCGTTTACTGTCAGCCTTGATAGGGCAAAACTATTCCTCTTATTTGGCCTCTACAATCTTCACAATTTTTTAGCTTTAACATTTACATAAGTAACACATTTCCCTCTAAAAAATGAAACAAAGTAAAGACTAAAAGGCAAAAAGTGGGTCTCCCTTTGACACTCCCCAGCAGTCCTCCCCATCCTTCTAAACCTCCTTCTATACATTTATAGACGCACCCAGGTTTGTTTTCACGTAAAGAGGATCATCACGTACTGTCCTTTGACTTGAGTTTTTCCAACAAACAACGTATCTGGGTGAACAGAGCTCTCCAGGTGCCAGGGCATCTCCCCTTGTAGCCCTCCAGGTCCTGTGCCAATCTCCGCCCCTCCCACTGGGTTGGCCTGTTGCATGTAACTTAAAAAATACTTTCCCTGTCACTCTCGATGGTTGGCTGGACATTTCCATATAGAATACTCACAGCAACTTTCAAAGAAAAGGAAAAGAAATTCACTCCCCACAAACTACAACTAAAGTTTCCTTTCGTGATTCAAAGATGTGGTTATACGGCACAAAGCTTTGGAAACTCTCAGCTTATTGAGCTTTTTCATGGTTTGGGATCTATATATATGAGTGATTACTATGTAGCTGGGTATAAAGTAAAGTACTCACAACCTCCTTGGAATTGACCAGTAAACAAAATTAGCCATCCACAAAAACAATGGAAAAGACAATGGGAAGCACAGAACCACAGAAGGTTCACTGTATCAAACTGGTATTATTTGTTATTTTTCCAATTTTATTAAGCAGAGAAATCTTATAATGGGGCAATACAGAGGATCAAAAATTTTGTCCATTTAGCAAAGCAGACAGTTTTCAAATCACTTAGGTCCTCCCCGCCTTCCCTTTCCCTCAAATGAAAGTACCTGGAATAACACTGTTAATATTGAGAAGCACAGTACCACTGCTAGGACACAGTTTCCATGGTTAAGCTACTTCAAAGTTTCCAGCTCAGGCCACTGATGAAAGAGCTACCTGCGCCCTTGTCCCCTGGGTTTCACAGGGCCCTTGGCCTGCCCCAGCTCTAGGTCATGGTAATGACCATGACCCTTCACCCTGAGGCAGAGGGTGAAGACAGCCCTCTCCATAAAAAGACAGGTGGGCCCTAATGGGCAAGAGTATGGTTCCAGGGACTCAGAGGATTAGGAGCCATGGGGCGCTCTATCACATACTGAGATCTCAACTCTGAAAATTCTCTTCACCAGCTAAAGTGTTCAGCTTCCCATAATCCCACTGGGGTTTCCAGTCTTCTTCCCAGGCCATGGGAGAGAAACGCTTACCCTCTACTTTTCAGTGCCTGCAGTGAGCATACAGTCCTTCTAAGATTTCAATGCTGGTAATAAAACCTTGGGAAACACGGAGTTTGTTCCCCATGTTATTCCTGTACCTTTCCCCTGTGGACCCTTTGGAACAGAGAATCTCAAACCATGCTCCTGGAATACACTAACCTTCTCGTAACAACTTAAGTTTCTCTCTCTTTAAAAAAAAAAAAAGGAACGTTTCATGAATTTGCATGTCATCCTTGCTCAGGGGCCATGTTAATCCTCTCTATATTGTTCTAATATTAGTATTAGAACAATATTAGCCAATGCAATAACATAATTTTTTAAAGGTGTTATTTTCTTCCAGAAATTGAACTTAGATAGTACTAGCAAATGAACAACCAACAAGAAAACCTGGAACTGAGGATGAGAAATCTGCAATGTAAAGATCACAGTATTTATAATATGGTCAGCTTTCCCTACTGGAAAAACCCTTCCCTGTGCAGAGTCAGAACTATTCCAGCATTTCATGATATTTCACAAACGGCAGCACAATGTCCAGATGTTCTGGCACCTGAACACGTAGAATTCCCACCTTAGAAGAGACCAAACTGAGGACCATGTATGCTTTGTGCACCTATTACATGACAGGCCAGTGTAGTAGTTTCACTTTGTCACTTCATAGATTCTAAAAGTGGATGTTTATTGCAAATACGATGGGATGAAATAACATGTATCTACACTTAGAGGCAGAGACTCACAGGCCTGCCACCTACCCTGTGGCATACAAAATATACAAAACCCTTCTGAAACTGGGCCTGCGGCTCTCCGGCTTCCCCTCTTCCCTGGCTCCTTGTTCTTCAGACACACCCAAGTCATTTCTACCTCAGGGCACTTGCCTTCACTCTGCCCGCTGCCTGGGCTGCTCTTCCCTTGGATCGCGTCTTCCTTCTCTGAATTCAATTTCATTTCAAATTTCACCTTCTCTAAGAGGCCTTCCCTGCCCCTCCAACTGATAAAGAATACTTACGATTTTTCTTGCTAGTAAACCTGGCCAGGGGGCTCAGTTGGTTAAGCACCATCCCTTACACCACAACGTTGTGGGTCCCACCTCTGATGGGGGTGGGTTAGATCCCCAGTAGGGCCATGTACAGAGGCAACCAATTCACGCTTCTCTCTCTTTCCTTCCCTTCCTCTCTCTCTAAAATCAATAAACACATTCTCTGGTAAGAACCTAAGGAAAAAATGAAGCTCTACTTTGTGAAACTGATACACAATGATAATTAGTATATATTACCCGCTGCTATATGTGAGTGAAAATGACCATCCATCGTGGTTGTATTTGACCCAGATGTTTGTTCTCTTTGCTACATTAAGTTAACATGATTAAAAAGAAGCCCCTGATGGGTGATGCTAGTGAGAGCTATTTTTTGTTCTGTCTGTGAGTGAGTCTAATACAGCTTGTCAGTACTTCCTCCTCCACATCCTGGCACTGCTTAATTAACATTAAAAGGTTTAGTCAACCAAATGCTAACAAGCAGTGAATTCAGTGCCACAGGAGCTAAAAAAGCAGTACTGTATTAGTTTATTACTAAAATTTAAAGTATAAATATCCCCAACTACAGTTCCATTTTTCAGGGCTACCCCTAGTCCTTCATGCCAATTAGGAAAAAAAGGTGCCTTTGACAGGCCACTGAGGTCTCACAAGGGAAGGCCTGAGGAAGAGATGGATTTCAGCTCTCGCTGAACTCTTGGCCAGACACCCTCGGGTGACCGACAAACCGCTCTGCTGCGCAGGGAGGCCTGCCCTCATTCCACAGCTATCTTCAGTAACCCGAACGGAAGGCACCAACGAAGACCCGTTTTCTTCCTTCCTTTTTATCCTGGATGCACAGGCCTTGGAGTACATGACTTGAGGAGGCCCCCCAGTGACAGAGTCAGGTATGCTTCCTAATATGTTAATAAAATCATTCATCTAGCCTCATTGTAGTCAACCCTGGTACTCATTAGAATCACCTGGTGGAAGTTGACAAACTACTGATTTTCAGACTTCCGTCTACTCTAGACGCAAGAGTGCCCGTGCATCAGAACTTCTAGAGGTGGGACCAAGGCACGAATATTCTAAAACGCACACACACACAAAGCCAACAGCAACAACCCACATTCAGGTGATCATGATGCATGGTAAGAGTTGAGGATCACTGAGCTCGTACTTAGTCTATATGCTTTTCCACTGCATCACCACAGCCAATTCCGATGTAAATTCTGACGTGTTTTTGCATTTACTTTATCTGCTCTTTAAACAGCAGGCTCATTAGGAGAGAGAACACATCTTTCAAACACCTATGGCCCTCAGCAGATAGTTTATGGTAGAAAAAAGAAAAGACCCAAAAGACACAGGTGAAATGTGAAAAGTGGTTACTCCTGGGGGTTGAGATCATGGGTGATATTTTCCTATCTGTAAAGGAAAATATCTGTATTTTATTTCTAAATATTTCTAAAATATTTCTAAAATATTTTACAATTAGCACATTACTTTTGCTAAGAAGCAAAATTATCTCAAATAACTTGTTAGACTCCTCCAGAATCTCTAAGAGACAAAAAGCACTGCTTCACTTTATGAAACAGGTAAATCATGCAGTCTTGTAAAAAAGTAGTCACAAGTCTGTAGATGCTCCCTGGTTGAGTTCTGGTTGGTATTTGTTCCTAATATTCCACCTTTAAATTTCTTTCTGCTATTCTGTTTCCCATTTGTTTAAATTCCTGACCCCAATCAAATGATCAATAAGTTGATATTTAAATCACCCAAGTTATACGATGTAAAATGACTGTCTAACCATTAAGCTGTACACCTAAAACTAATACAAATAAAACTGAAAGAAAAAAATTACCCTTTATAAGTATACATTTACTCGTTCTTTTAACAAGTAATTGATTGAGTTTCTGCTTCTTACATACCATATAAATAAATGCACTGTCCTTACTCTCCAGGAGCTTACAACATAATTAGAGAGTAATGAGACAGAATGACATATTTCAGGTATAGATAGTAAGCACCACAAGAGTTCAATGTAAGAAAAGTTACTTTTTGTGGGGATCAGGTAGGGACTTCATACCAGAGGGTAGCCAACCAGAACTGGAATTATCTTCTGGAGGGTGGGCCCCTTGTGGTACAGGTTCCCCCACCAGGTGAGTGTTCTGGGAACCCATCTGTATCAGTGTACCAGCTGGCTTTGTTGTGAGAGGATGCGTTCAGCTTCAGCTAATTCTTTTTTTGAAGACTCAACGTGTTTGCCCATTTCATGATAGGTGATGTACCCACACACCTGCCCATACCTTGCTGACTGTTCAGCAGTTTTTGACAAACAACAACAACAAAACGCAGCATCACTCCTCCCACTGTGTTCCATCCTCCCTATTCTCCGGATCTCACCCCCAGTGACATTTTTTGTTTCCCCAGATGAAAAAAGTCCTCAAAGAGAAACACTTTGCCAAGGTAGAAGAGGTGAAACAAAAAACAGCAGAAGCACTGACAGGCATCAAAATTGCAGAGTTCAAAAACTGTTTTGAGCAGTGGGAAAAATATAACAATAGGTGTGTTGCATCAAACAGGAGAGTACTTTGAAGGTGATTGAAGTTTAACCATGTAAAGAATAAATACATACTTTTTTAATAAATAAATTCTGGGGTTTTTTGGGGCCCCTCCTTGTATATCAAATAATCTGACTGGACCTTAGAATTGTAACAGGTGACTTAAGGATTAAGCGGTGAACAATTTAAGGAAAAATAGAAAAGAACAAGCCATGTTTTACTCTGAGGCCCTGACTACAGAAGATGGTTAAACCGAACAAGGACACAGGCACTCACAGAAGTTTAAAGTAGGATGGAGCCCAACTTACCTTTTAAACTAAGCTTTTCTATCTTATACTCATCCTTTACCTACCAGTTCAACCTCCGGTTCCTCCAATTCTCCCCATAGCTTTTGATCCCTGGATTTGTCAACCTTCCCTGCAGTCTCCTGCAACCCTATCGTACACCTGAGTATGATCTTTATCTTTTCAGGCAATCCAAATCAAGGCATTTTTAAAACTTTAAGTAGGTATAAAAATGTTAGTTAACTACATTCTTTTTAAATTCTTTCACTAGCGACCTTAACAAAACTTGTAAACCTAATCATGCCACACACTGCTTAAAGCCCTTCAATGATGCTTTGTTTTTCCTAGGAAAAAAAAAAGCATGAATTTTAAATGCCTTATAGATCTTGCAACGTTTGGTCCTTGCTTACAACTCCTGTTTCTTAAGAAGATAATCTTTCCTCCACCACTGAGCTTTCCAGGCCATTTCCTCTGGAAACCTTCCCCTCTACTCCTAATATGGCCAGGATAGTTTCTTCCCATGCCCAGTCTGTTTTTACTCTAAGAGAACCGTGCTTTTATGTTGGAGGATTCATCCCGGTTTCTAGTCATGCACCGTCGGTTTGACTATTTAACTGATTCTCTCTCCCACTAGAAAACTCCATGAGATCGGGGATTGTCATCAGAAGGCTGGGAATACCAGGCAATCAACTGACTAGTTGAAAGAATAAATGGTAGGTGGCCTCCTCCAATTACACTGTAGGATACCGGTGCCCGCTTTGGCTCTGCTTGTATGAAAACGCCTTTTACAAAACAGGGTCCAATTAACAGATTTTCCCACAAACTGTGCACCGCCCCCGAAAGACCTGGAATTTACTGCGGGGGTGGTCGGAGGAAGGGGCCGGGAGGGCGCGGGTGAACTAGCCCACTGAGAATTCAGGACTCGACCGTAAGTATTTTACGTCGGAAGTATGCCTCAATCTGCGATCAACTTGGCTACTCCCGCGCAGCTCGAGTTGTGCTTTTGATGTTCACTGTACGAAGGTTTTGGCAAAAAAGAATGCAACCCCCCCCCCCCCCAGAAACCACACTCGACCCCCAACGGCACTCCCAGATCCCGGGACTGGGCAGTCTCAACCTAGCACCCACCTCCCGAAGCAGCTTTAGGTCCCCGTGCTGGATCTCGTACAGCTGAATGACGCCGGTGCCCCGTGCGAAGTTGCCCATGGTCACAAATTTGGCGCTGCAGGGCACCCACTTACAGTCAAACACTGTGTAGTTGAGGCCCTTCTGGATATGGGCAATGATCTGAGGCTTTTCGAAAGCCGACATGATCCACCCGGTTTTTCCTTTGCCAACTAGTACTTCCCAACCCTGACGAAACCCTAACCTAGAAACCAGACTACAAACATTGACGACAATTTGTCCTTCCCGCTTGCCGTATCCGCCCCATGGCGCCCGAGCTAGTCGGATTTAGTTGTCTCAGATAATGCCAGATGCACTGCTGAAATCACACAAGACATTTTTTAACAGATGGCACAAACTTACTTTTTCGCCTTTATAGATTGCCTTTGGCATATATACAGGTTAGAGATCACAAAATGCTTTGGCCATGGCAGGGTCAGATGGAGAACATACGAATACGGCATATTTTAGAACAGCCCCTTATTCTACTCAGCAAATAAACCTAAAAATCCGGCTTCAAGTCCCCTGCGTGGGGACTTCTTAGAAAGGGGGCGGAGCCCTGAGACTGGTGGCGGTGGCTGGAACCTGCGAGGTACGCCTGCGCACTGCAACCACGCACGTGTCCCAGCCGGAAGCGCCTGCTGTGGCTGGAGTTTCCTGAGGATGGCCACCGAAATGGAGTCGCGGGACGCCGGGGCTGAGGATGGTTTCACCCAGGTCACTCGCAAAGGTGGCCGGCGAGCGAAGAAGCGGCAGGCTGAAGAGCTGTCTGCGGCCGGGGACGGCGGGGACGGGAGTCGCATGGACACGGAGGAGGCGCGGCCCGCCAAGAGGCCGGTCTTTCCGCCCCTCTCCGGGGACGGGATCCTGGTACTGGGGGGGATCCTGGGACAGGCACCGGGTAGGGGCCGGAGGGAGGTCAAGTTGGAAGTCTCTGGGTGACGTTCATAGTGCAGGGGTTCTTTTGGCGTGCAGTCCTTAAGTGGCTCCGATGAAGTTTGATTCGTTCAGATGAAAGCAGCTTTTTTTTGTGTGTGTGTGTGTGTGTGGTTCGGTTGTCACTTTATAGCTCCACCCCTATTCCTCCCGACAGCTCAGTTGTGTGTGTTTTTATTGCAGGACGGGAAAGAAGAAACAAGGAAAATTCCAGTCCCAGCTAACAGATACACACCATTAAAAGAGAACTGGTTGAAAATATTTACACCTATCGTAGAACATTTGGGACTTCAGATACGCTTTAACTTGAAATCGAGGAATGTAGAAATCAGGGTGAGGAGAATACCAACCATTTCCAAGTGTACTAGGGTTCCTCGTTCAGGGATGAAAATGGATGCATAAACTTTCCTCGGTGGAACTTATTTTGTTAAATGATTTTCTTCCAGCTTTCTGACTTAATGAATTTGAACTTCTCAAATGCCTTCAGAGTCTGCGTTGAACCCAAATAGTAGTTGAATTCATAAGTTGAGTCTGAGATCACACCAAAATACTGGTTGTGCCTTTGCATATTTTTTGTAGTATTCAGTGTGGAACTGAGAAAAGGCCAAGTAAACTGAAGTTTGTAAATAATGAACTGAGTGAAGTACTTGCTGCGGTACAGGCACTATATATTTTAATGCTATTATTTTGGGGGAAAATATTGTTTTAGAAGTAAGTTTTATATGTACATACCCATGTTATATCTGTACTTACATTTACATCTCTCTCTATGTATAGGTATAGATTTATTCTATGGTGTCAGGCCAAGAGTTAGACAGTCAAAATTAGTTGGCTTTGGACTTCTTTTTCTGAATGCCAATTTTGTATCAAAATCAAAGACCAACATTAATTATAATCTTTCTTTTTGAGGACTGTTAATGCTGTCATCAGGATTGGTATATAGACTCAGCTCCGCCAAGGGACTAGAATAATGGCATAAAGTTGAGAGGTGCTACTCTAAATAGTTGGTGAAGTTTAAAATGTAGACCTAGACGGTGGACTTCTTGCCACTTTAGTTCAGGTTTTTATGGTTTCATGCCAAAACTTGTTTCCTTATAGGTTTCCCTTGTTACATTGCTTTATATCATTTCACCATCTCACCCAGACCTTTCCCAGACCACACTGCTTTTATTATGGTATCCTGGTACCTTAAGCGTCTCTGAAAGGTAGGAGTTAAGTTTTGACTAAACGTTGCACATAGGAGTCCGAATCCCAAGTTCACCTCACCACCGTTTTGAACATTTTTCAAAGGAAAATACCACCCATATGGGTGGCTCTCCTCCCTGATGAAGGCCCTCTCCTCCTTACACCCTTGGTCCTACCTCAGTTCCATTTATCTTTCAGGATCTAGCTCAAGTTCTTTGTGATCAGTCCCTTTTTCAGTCATGCCATCAGTCATACCTTAAGTGTCTAAACTCTTACTGTGCTTAACTGTCATATTTATTTCAGCATCATCAATTTGGATTCCACTAACATTTGTTGATACTGTTATACACCAGACACAGAGTGGGCCTTCCGACGCACTACAGGATCATTTTGGTCCTTAGGACAGCCCTGTGAGATAGATGACATAGCCACATCTTACGGATGTCAGGCACACTGAGGGTCAGAGGAGTTTCTCGGCCAAAGTCATAGAGCTGATAATTGAATCTTGATGCTAGTAGCGACCTCTCAGGATCTCCTGTTCTGACCTCTGTATTTTACAGATAAAGAAGACCTGTAGTTTCTGTGAGACTTGCTCAAGGTCAGATATAGGATTAAGACTGGGATCTTGTTTTAAATGTCCCATTACACAACCCTGTATGGTTTCAAATTTGTCATGTATGTGGTCTCTTCAGTTAGATTGTGGGTCTGTGTGGGATAGAGGAAATGACAGTTTTGACATTAGACCTGTGTTCGAATCTTACCATTTTCACTTTTATATCACTCAATATTCAGGGTTGTCATGAGGTTTAGGGCTGCAGTACGTAAAGCTCCTTTGTAGTGCCTGTCGTTTACAGCGCTGTGCATTTCATGAGTAGCTGTTGTTTCTGTAATTATTGAATAAACTGCCTAAACCATTCTTGGTAATTAGTAGTGGAGTTATTACAGTGGGGAGCATCCACACAAATGATTATTGAAGCCAAGAGATGACGACTCGCAGGGAAAGCTGCATTGGAAGAGAAGAGGACTAGCTTGGTGGGTATCAGTGCATTGACAGGATTGGTCAGTGAAGTCCACACCAAGGACGATGAAGTGCAGTGTGTGTGTGCAGTTGGGCTGTGCCTCGGAGGAGTCTTGCTGTCAGCCGCAGGTCAGATCAGGCTTGTAATCAGTCAGTCAGTCACGTGACCGTCTTTTGGTGGAACTGTACCTCGATCTGGGAAAGTTGTTTTGCAAATTAACCACAGTACTTCAGCAAAAACTGGGTCGTGGAGAATACATTGGGGGAGGGTGGTGGTGGAGGAAATTACAGTAAAGGAAAAGATCATTCCTGGTAGTCTGTTAGAGTACTTTTCATCCCCTCCTATAATTTGTGCCTTTTTTAAAACAGACTTGTAAAGAAACCAAGGATGTTAGCGCACTGACAAAAGCAGCTGATTTTGTGAAAGCCTTTATTCTCGGGTTTCAGGTGGAGGTGAGTGATTGATTTAATGACATCTGAAATGGAGGCTTGAAAAATATTCACTATGAATGTTTCAGTGCATTGGGGCTTTTTTCTAATTTGAGTTTTCTAATTCTACAGTTTATGAATTTTACTTTCACACTCATCCTCAGGTATCTAAATGGAAGGGCTTCACAGTGTTTATTTTTACATTGTAGGATGCACTTGCCCTAATTAGGCTGGATGACCTCTTCTTAGAGTCTTTTGAAATTACAGATGGTGAGTGTGTAGCAGTCATTTATTATGAAGCACTGTACTTTTGAATTGCTGACTTTGTTGTTTGGGACTCTCAGCTTTCTAAAAGCATCAGTTGAGCTGTGTTATTAGCAGCTTTAAAAATACATATGTATTTTTATGTCTGTTAGTGGGGAAACTTTGTTAGTGATTGAACTTTATATGGAAGTGGGTGGTGTACTGGAGTGGTTTGCCCCTTGAGGTCTTCCTTGTCTCATTTAGTGAAGCCCCTAAAGGGAGACCACCTGTCAAGGGCAATAGGAAGAATCGCTGGCAAAGGAGGAAAAACCAAGTTCACCATAGAGAATGTGACACGGACGCGGATAGTTCTAGCTGATGTGTAAGTATGTGATCTTGAGAAAATTATTGTCATAATTTATATTTGCTCTTTTGCTGGTTTTAAAAGGTCATAAAGATTGTGTTTTTGCATAATACTCCCACTGAATCTTTGTCAGCATGTGGTTCTGGATGAATAGGTAGTTGCCAACTTTGAAAGCAGATTAAGTTAGGAAAATCTTAGAAATTGTATCTTTTTTCTCAATTGGCAATGAATGCAATGTTTAGAATCATTAAAAGAAATCACAAGACAGGTAAAAATTTAAATAGTATCTCATAGGAATCTGGTAAGTCAGGGGAAAACCAAAGGTGGGTGTTTGGGTTTTTTTGGTGTTTTTTTTGTTTGTTTTTAGAGAGAAGGGAGACAGAGTAGCATCCACTTGCTCCACTTACTTATGCATTCTTTGCTTCCTGTACGTGCCCCGACAGGAGATCTCATCCGCAACCCTGGAATATTGGGATGACACTCTGTAACCACCTGAGCTACCTGGCCAGGGCACAGTGTGGGTGTTTTAAATACCACTGGGAGGCTTTCCTTAAAAAAAAAAAAAAATATATATATATATATATATATATATATATATATATACACATACCTTCCTTAAAAGGAAGACGAGTAGTGCACGTTGGGTGAGAACGAGACAACAGTCAATGTGAACATGAATAAGAGGATACAGACTTAAAATGAAGGTGCAAGACATCAAGCTAGGATGACCTTTGTGAGGTTGAAGCTGCTCTGTGGCCAAGTTGGCTCAGACTGTATAATGCCACAACTGCTCTGGGAAACAGCAGTGGACTGAGAAGAGGACGGGAGGGATCAGCCTACACCCGAATCCAGAAATAATTTTAGTCGAAGTCGTCTCATCTTTGCTCTAAACCAAGGGGCTCTAATATTTTTTATAGTTCAGGAATAACTGTAATACTATATTGGTAGCCCTCGTTACCTGAGGACAGATGTATTATCATTTTAATCTTTTATGAATGAGTCTAGAGTTGGGAGTAGGGAGCCAGGAGGAAAGTTGTTAAAATATCACATATAGCCCTGGCTGGTGGGCTCAGTTGGTTAGTTGAAGCATTGCCCTGTGCACCAAAAGGTCAGGGGTGCCGTCCCTGGTCAGGGCGCGTGCAGGAGGCAGATATCAGAGTTCCTTTCACATCGGTGCCCACCCTCCCTCCCTCCAATCAGTGTACCCTCAGTCGAGGATTTAAAAAATAAAATATTTAGCTTTTTAATTTGGAAATCTAAAAATGTAACTGATTTGCTAAATCAAATTACAGGTAGTATATCATATTAAAGTATATGACTTGTAAGTGTATTTGTAAGTTAAAATTTACTAGTTAATTTTTTGAGCAGCCTTGATGTGGTTTATCATCTGCGTACAACGTACATAGTTCAGGGAGTTCCAGGCAGAGTTTCTAGCCCTGCAGCCCCGCTCCACTCACACAGCCTTGCCAACCCCAGGGTTCCTCGTGCGGCCCCGCGGCCCCACCCGTGCCCAGGCTCTCACACACATGTATCAGTATTTTGTGTCACTGTGGTTTTGCCTTCTCTAGAAATTCACAGTCTGAAGTCTTCGGTGTTTGGCTTCTTTTAGTTAGCATATTTGTCTCTCCATTTTTTTGGACGTATCGGCAGTCCCCGTTTATTGCCAAGTACCAGTCCCTTGTGTGGATATATCGAATTTTGTTTATCCATTCAGTTGATGGACATTGGGGTTGTTTTCAGTTTGGTACTGTTACGAGTAATGTTGCTATTGAATTACTTCTTATACCTTGTATGGTTGTATGTTTTGTTGTTGTTTTTTACAAATTGAATTACACTACTCAAAATTAAAGAAATATACTGTTTTGTAGTTTTTGCTATAAACAGGCTAATTAGAAGTCCACAAATTGAACAATTTATATTATGATAAAGCCATAAAGTGGACTACTATATACCTGTGTTATTTTTTATGAGCTGCTAATCTGGTAATACAGCATAATGTGAGCAGGATATAAAACTAAAAACTACTGTTCCTGATACATTCAGTAGAGCAGAAGGGGAATCATGCTGCCTGTGTGTCCATGCTGTTCAAGAAGCGATTTGTTCGAAAATCAAATCATACAGGCAACTGATCATACAGGCAATTGATCATACAGGTTATCAGCATGAAAGGGTTGTCAGGTCGAGAACCGAAGTTCTGTTTAACAACGAAGACTTTTTCTATGAACAACTTGGTTGAGAACCAAATTGTTCAACATGTGAGACATTCAAGAACCAAGGTTTAACTGGTTTTTGAGATACAATAAACACACCATAAAATTCTCCTTTCAAAGTGTGTTCTTAGCATATTTGCTGAGTTTTGCTACCATCATCATAACCTTCACTGAGGAATCTGTATCCTGATTTTTCACTTTCTGGATAATAGGACTTAGTTTAAGGAAATGTTTTTTTTGTTGCTGACTTTATTTTTTTCTTGCAGGAAAGTTCACATCCTTGGCTCTTTCCAAAACATCAAGATGGCAAGAACTGCCATTTGCAACCTCATTCTGGGTAATAGCATTTTGTTTCTTTGGTATTTTCTCTGGAAAGTAAAGGGTGGGGATCTAGGTTAAACCACATTTGCAAGCCAGTTTAGGGGAATGTGAAAGATAGCAAACAGAAACTCTTGGGGGTTGGCAGATCTTTGTGGGACTAAGAGAAGGCGGGAATCCTTTTACTTGGATTTCATGTCTGTTAGAGAAGAGAAAGAATTTATTGGCTTATATTACCTAAATCTTTGCTGCCTTCCTCTGACGAGGTGCACAGAAGAGCCATTCCAGAACATAAGCAACACCGTGTTTTAGGTGCAGCAAAGAGGGAGCTGCCGATCAGCATCAGTCAGTTTAATCCACTTGGTCCCATTTCACATGGGGCAGCCAAGTCAGTATCTTGTGACAAGAATTACAGGAGTGTAGTCATTTGCTCAGAAAACACTTAGGATTCTCTGTTGGTGACCAGGTCTTTTTGAAATATTTTGGCTCTTGGGATTAAAAATGATTTTTAGAATATTTGCATTTGGTTTCCTTTTTAGGCTTTCTATTGATTTAAGGTAGATCCCAAAGAAAATGTTCTGGTTTGGTTTTTTTTTTTAGAGTTTTGTAGACCATTTTCCATGTAGCTTGTATATATGGGAGTATTTTTCTGTATAAGTAAGCTTTTTTTCCCCTACAGGAAATCCTCCATCAAAGGTTTATGGCAATATTCGGGCTGTGGCTAGCAGAGCAGCAGATCGATTTTGATTTCAAATCAGAGACTTTTGTCTTTGGACGCTATAGAAAAAGACCTTACCCTTCCAAAGTGGTCACAAGCCATGTGAAGGATTTTTCAGTCACTTCAAGTCTCCACTGGAAGAATAAAGAGAAAGTTTAACGGTGTTCGTTCATCAACTTTTGAGTGTAACTTACCAAACTTTAGTACCACGGTTATACTTAAACAATTATAACTTATCTTTTTTATTTTAAATTAAATGTACTCAATTTGCATAGTTTGATTCTCTCATTTGGAGGGAAAATTCTTATTTTTCTATATGAATTTATGAAGATTTCTCCTGTGAGTTGTAATTCAAGAATTCTCTCAGAAAACCTCTCTGAATCATGACCCCAAGTACCGGTGGAGTGCTACTTACTTTACAGTCAGGTCATTCGGAAGCAGCGGTTCGGCTGCACTGAATGAACCAAAAAGGCTAATCTTTGTACCTGTTTGTGACTTGTAAAATTAAAGACCTGTATAACTAGGTTGACATGAGGAAAGAATGTTATTTTTTCATGTAAGTATGTATGTTGGGTTTCTTCTAAGTAGTAAGATATAAAAGAATGATCTTACTCCTAAGAAAATGTTCTTCAAATATAATAGAATGTTTTAACTAGTGTCTGCCTATTTAAATAGCTGATTTCAGTTTATGCATTTTTTAAATGAACTCACTTCATTAAATTTGAGTGATACATGTGCTTGTACATCTCTAATACCTGACCAAAACTTTCTAGCTTTGAAGATGGGAGTATTTGAAAGTTCATGTAAGAACTAGAGAAAGTATGCTTATTAAACTTGTTTCCCTTACATCAGTTACCTGTGCCACTGTCCCAGACAGCTCTGTATATTGCATGGGATTGGATGCATTTAGATTATGGTTAGAATCCAATGGGAAATTGCTGGAAAAATTTCCAAACCAAAATAATTTTTATCCTTTGGCCACACAGCAGCATGAAGAGTATATGTACGACAGTAGTAAATCACTTTACTCACAAGTTTAGGACACTGAACTTTTATTTAGCTCCTTGGGTGTCCGGCACCTCCCTGGTTTAGCATTTCTCTTCCCAGGGGAGCAGTACTGCTTAGGGTTTGAAAGGGAGACTGGTTGTTGGAGGAAAACCAACAGCTTTTTGGAATGGGAACAATGAAAAAGTAATCAGATAAATCTATGTCACAGTGATAGTTGATCTTAACCTGGATCAGAGCATTTTGAAAGCATTCTGTAAGGCCTGGACACTGACACCTCACCCTCAGCTGTGCACATTCATGTTTCTATGGCATCTGTCACACTATATTGTAATTATACCTGCGTCTCACCTACGGATACGTAGTATCTTGCACAATTTCTGACGTACAGTTTACATATTGGCTGGAGAATGGGCCTGCAGAGTATTTTCTTAAATATTCATTGGCTGCCCTGGCTGGGGAGTGAGAAGAGGCAAGAAATGATGTTTCTCTCTTCTTTCAAAGATAAATAAATTTAATTCATTGGCTGACTAAGGGGAAAAGACCTAGATGTTTCTTAGTTATTCCAGATTTTGGCTTCAACTCATGCTACCTAGAACTGGGATGGTAGAGAAAGCTCATGTTCACTAAGCAAATGGGAAAGAGACCTAACTTTCCTCATCTCAGCCATGGTAAGGTTGGGCCAGCATGCTTCATGTTAGATTACTGAGGGTACACAGGGACATCGGATTGTACACAGCCATCCTACAACTCTCAAAATACTCATACTGTGCAAATGTTAATTACCTGGTCAAAGAAACCTAGTAAATCTTTAGGTTTGAGAGAGCTAGGACTTGTTCATTTGGTCTGGTTAGCTGATTTATAATGCCCAAGGGAAATTAAAGGCTGAAGTGTCAAAGGATTTCATCTAAATGTGAGCTAATGCAATGAGTTTTTGAGCATGTGGGAGTTTTTAAATACTAATGTTTCAATACACATGAGTTTGAACAATATTTAAGTCCTGGAAACTATCCAGAAAGATTGAGATTCTTTTTCACTCTCTTATGTATGCTCTTAAATTGTGGTAAGTACATAAAATTTAGCATTTTAACCATTTTAAGTGTATAGTTCAGTGGCATAAAGTACATTCAACATTGCTGTGCAACCACCACCATCACGCATCTCCAGAACTTTACTTTCCCCAAGCAAAACTACCCATGCAACGCTAACTCCCCATTTCCACCTCCTGGCCCCTGACACCGCCATTCTCCTTTGTCTCTTCAGTGGCTGGAAGCAGAGGAAGGGTGAGGAGTAGTAAAAGAATGAGATGGGGCTTTGTAAGTTATAATGACTTCTGTTTGTACCCAGTGATAATGCAGATGTATTTTTACCTATGGACTACAAAGATCAAACATCAACAGATTTTTAAAAATCACCCCCACCCAAAGACCCCTGATAGCTGTAGAAGCCCACCAAAGACCACGGAGTATGCTCAAGTTCCAAATATTTTATTTTCTTATTCATACAGTAGGAAGTTTTCTAAAGATTCCCACAACATGATGTTTCATGCAGAAGAAAAACTAAACATTCAACATAAACCATCCCTCCCCCCACCCATACACACTAAAAAAAAAAAAACCCATTACCCAGTAAGGAAATATTGTTTGCACTATTTTTCTGTAACGCCAGCCAAGATATGCACAAGCAAGAGAAATAGAAAGCATTTGCTAAAATATTTGTAACAAATACTTATGTACAAAAAATTCACAAAAGACTAGTTCCCCCTTGAAGCAGAGCACATGGCAGTTGACACTGGAACAGATCAAACCACTGGCTGGGATTATAAGCCACGTACTGATCCAGAGGAAGAAAGTTACATGTAGTGGAGATTTTTCAGTTTGAACATTAACATTTCCAAAGTTTGGCAATATTTTCTTTTAAAATTATGCAAATTATGTAAACAAGAGGTACATTTTTAAATCGATCTACATGCAAAACTCCATGTCATGCAAGGACACCAAGCACCGAGATTTCTCTCTCACAGACAGAGCCCATGGTGTGCAGCACTCAGTCGAAGGAACAGCAGTGGCAAGCAGGTGTGCCCAATTTAAGGTTTGTTCACCTTGACTCAACCTGCCCCTTTCCACTCCTGACTATAAAACCAGTTTTTGGTGAAAAACTATGTAGGGAAATACTGTCCTAGAAAGCTAACCGAAATGTTTTCTTCCAGCCAACAGTACCGTTGCAGAAAAGGGAAGGGACAATAACAAGTGGTAGAACATGATACACTACTTTTATATCACACAAATTTATTGTTATCCATTACAAATATGGGCAAATCAAGAAAACACCTCATGCACTCTTTATGCTTTATGGTAAAGAAATTCAAGAGGTATAAATTTGGATAAAAATTTGCTCTTCTGTGATGTACAGATGAGTGGGATTTCTTCCATTTAAGTCACAAATATATGTGGGTGTTTAGATATATACATGCACATTAAGTATCACCCATGTTTTATATTAGCTGCAAGTCTTCTGAAAGAAACACAGAAGGGAATTTTTATGGTTCAAACAGGTTTAATGACAAATTATTTACCCAAGTAATAAATGGATATCCTATGCAGTTACATGTTTACTTCAGGTACTCTTATTAAGTAATGTCTAAGTTAAATTATGATTGCCTCACATAGCTTCAGGCCTTTATGAAATCACAACTGAAACTTACAAGTACTAGGGACATTTAATAAACATAATGGCTCCTAGTGACCAAGTAACAGAAGGAAGCAGCCTTAAGCTTTGTGCAGGTACTATATGAACACAAGAATGAGCTCTTGGCAGTAGCACTGAACTACACTTTCTCCTCAAGCAGAGATGTAGTAGAAGCTGCTCAGCAATGAGACTTAGTCCCTGGAAATATATTCATAGGTATAAATAAAGTTTACAAACTCCTTTGTTACAAAAATGTAATTAGGTAAATAATAGGACGTTAACAAATGCTTTGTCAATCTCTCAAAGGAGAAAGCACAGGAAAAGGAAAGTAGCTGGCCTAACACCCGGCTCAATTGTACAATCTTCTACCTATATATAAAACTGTGTGAAATAAAAGTAAGGATGCTTTATGTTCTGCTTGGCACTTTTGTACTCATCATTTTGTTTCTGAATCAAGTATATTAAATTAAAGCCAACCTACTACACATATAGAAAGCTACATATATCTATATATAAATATTTACATATGTATATATAGATACTTTCTTGTTATAAAAGATGAAGAAAAATAAATTAAAAAGCCAACCCCCTCCCTTTCTTCACCACATTGATATGCTCTTTCGTGTTGCTGTCCTTCAGACTTTAAAGTGCTACACTGAGTTATTGAGAGAATAAGAGTTCAATAACACTTAGTTGGCTTCATGAGGCTCATGTTGGAAAATGTGGCTTCACAGAGAAAAATACTTCCATTTAAATACACAGAGAGCATTGCTGGACGTCTTGAGCAGATCTTCAGAGATGGAGAAGAAAGCAAAAGTGTTGGGTGGTACTCTTTAAAATGGGTCACACATCTACCACCATCTTTTTGTGGATATCTAGGCCACCTACAACCTGTAACAGAACAAATCAAGCTTAGCCATGTTGGAGACATTCCTTTTTATTAGTTTAAACACCTTACCAAAACTGTAATATACAAACATATTATTTTGACCATTTTCAGAAGCCGTGTTGCTTTTTTAAAAAAAGTTGCATTGTATCTAATTAGAATTTTCATGGCTTCTTTCTTCCAGGAACAGGCATTTTCTTGTATTCTAGACAAGGCTGGCAACCTTATTCCACAAAAGGCCCAATAATAAATATTTTAGGCCTTGCAGCCTAAATTATACATGGCATAAAAAATTATGCCATGTATAATTTTACTTGCATCTACTTTTTCCACTTATAAAACTGCAAAAAAAATTTTTTTTAGCTCAAAGATGTGCATAGCAGGCTTTGGGCAGAACCCGTACCTTAGTCCTCTCAGTTAAGTGATTACCAGATGTGACCATAAAAGCTGTCCTCAAAGACCAAATATGGCTTCAGTCAGTCTATTTTAGAATATATTAAAGTACCACCAGGTGCATAAGATTTTCTGCACATTTAGCCACACTCATGACTTAACATTTATGGATTAATTGGGTCTTTTATACTTACTTTTTTAAAGAATCAAACTGGCAACCCCTTGATTAGTAGGCTGGAGCTCAATCCACTGAGCCACACCAGCCAGGGCTCTGTATTATTTAATTCAAACTTACTGCTTAAAACTTTATTTGAAAAATTCAGGTTGAACAGCCAATTACTTGTACAACTTCTGCTATGAAGGTTCAGCACCCTGCCCTCATCTTCTATTATTTTTACCACGGAATCATTTTCAGCTGATTTTCAGTGTTTACCTACAAATAACACTCCTACATCATCTTTTCTTGTATTCAAGGTTAAAAGCATTACTGACTTCCCATCAGGGAAGATTTAGCTCTTTCTCACACATCTTTCCCATCTATCTTCCTACCCCACATACATCCCACCCCTCTTTCAATAGTTGTTATCTTTATTTTTTATTAGACAGAAATGCAGCATTTTAATTATGACTATGTAATACTATTTACAGCAGAACAGAAACACATACTGTAATTTTTTTCCCTGAACATTTGTTTGGCTACAGTTAGTAATTACCTGATCTTTCCCTTTGCTGGTGTTCTACACATTTACCAGGTCAAACTCAAACTTCTGTTCTAAACCCATTCATATGTGTTATATAATCCTACCAATTTTATTGTCTTTAGATCACTCCCAGAGCTCTCCAACCTGCTCCCACCTAGGCCTGTCCTCTCTGGACCTC